CCGACATAGTTTGGCCCGCCGCCGCCGCCGTTCAAAAATCTGCGGCGCGCCGCCGCGCCGCCGCCGTTAAAATTGTCGGCGGCGTAGCCGGCGGCGCGGTCCAAATTCGTCACTTTTGGAGCCCAATTGGTGCCCAAAGACAGGCTACCAAACGTGCAGTCCTCTCGCTACTCCGACCCATTCCAACAAGAAGTGATAATGCTCTAGACCATTAAAATTGTTGTGAATTTGACATTTTTAATTCAACATATTCAAAATTAGCGCTCATTTGAACAAGAAGCGCCGGAAACGCCGCCGCCGCCGCCGCTGATGATACTATCGGCGTGAACGCCGGCAACGCCGCCGCCGCCGGCTAAATTTTGCCCCCACGCCGCCGCCGCCAAAAGTAGGGTCGGCGTGCATGTCTAGAACGAGACAGTCGGGTTTAGTAAAAATACAAGCCCAACCGGGCCGCCGAAGCGCGCACCGGGGACATCTCAGAAAGGAACTACATCCCGGACTCACTGACACCACAAGCGGAAGGAATTATGATAGAGCAAAACGGACGAAATTTTCGTCCAAAGACATCTCCTTTGACGAGTTACCCCTAAGAAATCCATAAGACAATATTCAATATAAAATACATTTGGTGACCCGTGGTTTTTGATTTTTTTTAATGTCAATTTTTGAGCTAGAATGCTCATCTCCGAACTCGATCTGTCTTTTTTTGCGATACAAAACGACCCTGAAATTCCCAGATCGCTGTCTCAATTTCTTCTCGAGTTATCGTGCATACAGACAAACAAACAGAATGAAGCTTTTCCGGTCAGTGGAGTAATGGGCTTCGCTAATCGCTCAGCCAATCATAATGCGCAGAATTTTTTCGCTCGCTTCGCTCGTGAGAGCTTCCGCTTTTATCAGTCTCGGGGGCATCAGAAGCTTCTTACATGTGTGCTTCAGCATTTTGTAAAACTGGTGTTTTTACTTTCAAAATTGGCAAATTTACATTGAATTCCCCCTGTTAATTAGGCAACCACCACGACCCATCCAGAAAAATGCCCCCCTACAAACCTACGCTGGATCCACACCTGCACTACCGGGAGTGAAACCCCCTGCCTATGCCCCAATGCTTCTAGCATTTTATCAACGCATTAAGGAGATAAGATTTTCATTGTTCAGTTTATAGAAATAATTGTGCTGAAATTGCGTAGTCATTGCTTTTTACAAATTAAACTAATTTTATTGTCACACTGCTTTTAATCAGGGATGGAAAACAAAATGTAATTTTAAACTTGCAGTTGCACACTTACTAGTGTGGAGTAGATGAACACTTAGTTTATTATTGTTATGAGCTAACCCAACACCGTGTTGCTTCCTGGTAAATACATGTCAGCTTACACATAAATATCGCTGTAAATAAAAATAGGAATGTGGAAGTATGATCAATGTGATTCACATAAAATGGGCAAAACCTCGCAAACCTATAAATACCCCTATCTCATGTTAGGGTTATGGCTAGGGAATTGTCCCCCTGTATGTTCCTATTGCAAGGTCCAGACGTGTAGGTCAGCCTGGACGCATAACGGCTGCCATCATATCCGAATCCAGAAGCGTCAGTAGCTTGAACGGCAAAACCCTGCTGAACACAACCTAATGAAAAGAAAAGGGGGATAATGTTAATGTATTGCACTTCCCTTTGCTTGAGTTCTTGTTGGTGTTTGTGTGTGTAGCAACGCCTTATAGACGCTTCATTCATAAGAAATGATGTCAAAACACTCTTCAACCCTCAAAAATGAGTTTCGGGCATAAACTTAACTATGTGACAGCATATATGAAACTACAATAACTTACTCGCTCCGGTGATCGCGCCCGAGTTAGTGCCACCGATGGAGACGGTGCAGTCAAAGTCCAAGGGCACGGTGATAGCTCCGGAGTTGTTGCCCTCGATGATGACGGTGCAGCTTCCGAACGAGCAGCCCTTCAAACGCGGCTGGCTGGTCTCCGCGCCCACAGGTTCGCTGTCCTGCACATGTCCGGAGGCCACGGACTGTTCCTCAGCCCGGGTCGCAGCGGAGGAGAGAGTGATGGCGCCCGAGTTGTTCTTACCGATGCGGACGTGGTTGCCTGCTCCGGATGAGGAGCGTTTGGCCCGGCTGCTCGCCCCTCCTGCGCGCTGGGCAGCGGCGTCCGTCGGCAAGTTGATGCTTCCCACTTTGCTGCCACCAGACCCGCTGCCGACGCGGCAGCCCGCAAAGGAGCAGCGCCTGACGCGTCTCACGGAGGGGACAAAAGGGTCCTCAGATGCAGGGGAAGCCTGTTTGGCGTTTTGGCGTGCAGAGGTTATCGTGATAGCGCCGGAGTTACTGCCGCTAATGTCGACAGAGGAGGAAGAACAACTTGTTAACCGGCCGTTGACTTCCACCACACGGGCGGAAGGTGCTACATCGCCAGGGCGTGAAGCGGCGTCTGTCAGCGGGCTGATGCTGCCCGAATTGCTGCGGCTCAGCGAGGCTGTAAGGTCAGCGGCGCCCTGGGAGCCCGGAGGGGCGGATGCGCCGTCTGTGTTGGAGAGTGTCTTGATGGAGCCTCCGATGAGATCCGAGCATCCGCCGAAGGAACACCGTTTGGGGTGGACTGCGAAATTTTCCTCAGGATGTGCAGGGGAAGCTGTGAACAGATGTTTTTAGCGGATGATACATTTGAATTTGGAACATTTTACGCGACTAAAACTCAGAAGAACCGATTTGACAAATACAGGGTGGGTGATCCGCGCCGTGGTTATTTTTTCTGCTTATGCTCTACCGGATTCATGCGTGCGGGCGGGCTTGCCTATCGTCGCTCGCCATGGCGCCTTACGGCCCCGAGCGAGTATGCAACCCGTCCGCACGCATGAATCCGGTACAGTATCAGCAGAAAAAAAACACGGTGCGGATCACCCACCTTGTATGTCAGTGCTTGTACTGACATGCAGCGTAGAGAGAGGCATAAGGCGTGACGTCACCCAGATGTAAAGGGGCGCCTGAAGTCGTCCGCTGGCCCACCCTGGCCGCCCGACCGTACTATCAGTACGGAAAGAATTGAACCCCCCCTGGTGGTCACATCGAAGTCAGGAGGTCATCAAAGAAACCATACTCAACGCGTTTGAACAGGATATTAAGTCCGGAGGTCATGAAAGAAACCACATTCAACGCGTTTGAACAGGATATTTATATTTTAAATCAAACGTGTAGTTTGAGGTTTTGAGCAACGAAAGCAAACACCGTCGACGAAACTCGAAAATTTCTCTAAAAGAAAGAGTTATATCCTAGCTAACCCTAAGGTCTGTGTCGTCTGCCAAAACAAGTCCGCTGAGCAGACAATCAGTCGGGAATAAATCGCAGACGAACCGTAGCTCGCTAACACACAAAATGTACACTGGTGAAACAAGTGTGCAATATTTGCACACCATACGTGTGCAAGTTGTGATTTAGCACATTACATGGTGTTTAACTCAAGTTGCACACTAGCGTGGTGTGCAAATTTTAGACGTTTTGCAAACGTTTAAATTCTGCACACTTGGACACACAGTTCTATGCTGTCAATAGGGAACCATACGGTGTGCAGCTGCTATACGTTTCGGAAGTGTCGAAAGTTTAAACACCAACTGACGTATAACTTAGTTAGACACCACAAAGTGTCGAGGAAATGCACACTTGAACTTAAACGTCAATTGACGTGCAAAATTAAACACTTGTTTTACCAGTGTACGCGATTTCAGGCAATATGGATCAATCCGGGGCTAAAAATACCCTATCCGGGAGGGAAAAACATCAAATTGGTGTGTCATCATTAGACATGCACGCCGCGCCGCCGTTGCGCCGCCGCCGACATAGTTTGGCCCGCCGCCGCCGCCGTTCAAAAATCTGCGGCGCGCCGCCGCGCCGCCGCCGTTAAAATTGTCGGCGGCGTAGCCGGCGGCGCGGTCCAAATTCGTCACTTTTGGAGCCCAATTGGTGCCCAAAGACAGGCTACCAAACGTGCAGTCCTCTCGCTACTCCGACCCATTCCAACAAGAAGTGATAATGCTCTAGACCATTAAAATTGTTGTGAATTTGACATTTTTAATTCAACATATTCAAAATTAGCGCTCATTTGAACAAGAAGCGCCGGAAACGCCGCCGCCGCCGCCGCTGATGATACTATCGGCGTGAACGCCGGCGACGCCGCCGCCGCCGGCTAAATTTTGCCCCCACGCCGCCGCCGCCAAAAGTAGGGTCGGCGTGCATGTCTAGTCATCATTAAATGCAGAAAACTGTCAGGATCTTAGTAGTTGGCCGCTCCAGTCTCAGATTTGTAAGAATCATTTCCCATTATTTCGTCCGACAATCCGCTTACACGCATCTCGTAGCTCAAGGGCAAAGCGCAATATTATCGCGATTTGGTCGCACTAATGCTCGCACAGTTTGTAAGCGAGACGGTTTGGGGAACACAACCCCTTCATCAACAAACTGATGCTACCGGAAAAATTAAACGACTAAGAAATTATATTGCAGCCCAAACTCGCTTACCGTAGAGCTACAAGGCCAGAATTGCCCGTTAACCGTTAGTTTAGTGGTTGCTATGCTGCTTTGGGTAAATATAAGCGACCCCTCGCCCTAAGAACGCACCCCTAGACCGGGAACACCCTTATCTTGTGACATTAAATGAATATTCTCTTAAAGAGAGCAATCCTGTAAAAAAAAAGAGATCTAGGTTGTCTCCATACGGGAGATAGCGTGGAGACTTTTTGGAGACATTGTCAAGACAGCCAATAACCGAACTTAGACAACATGGAGACGACCTCGAGACGTGGCGTTTTGTCTTCCGTTGCGTCTCAGTCAGGTCTTGTTTGCGATCCCGTTTAGAGACGACACAGAGCCATCGCGTGGAGACAACCTCGAGACATCGACATGCGACAGACGAAGAAAGGCGAAAACGAGTATCATTGCCGGTGCGGGCTGGGATCGACCCACCAACCTTCCGTTTGCCGAGCGGGGCCGGTGATCACTGGGCCAGAGTGATTACTGAGGGGGAGGTGCGCTGGTCGGTGCCACTGCCACTAGCCGCCAGACTCGCTCGGCAGCCGAGAAATCTCAAAGCAAAATTAGATTCATAAATTCTACACTATTATAAAAAATGGTGATTGTTATAGAAAAGAAGAAATCTTACCTGTAGAACAGCCGAGCATACAAAAAACAGCGAGCACGCTCAGAGCCGTGTTGTGGAGCTAGCGAGTGAGAGGTCTGACAACGTCTGTCTTCAATCAATTTTCAGCAGTTGAAAGTCGGGTTGACAACAACATTCCTGAGAGAAAAGTAATGGAGATTTATCTTAAACGCCACAGGCGCATATAAAGGGGGTACACCCCCCCCCCCCTGTCGTCTCAAAAGAGCCACCTGAAAGGCAGGCAATTTGCGCCACAAAACCCCCGTATGTAGGCAACCGACAGTTCAATTTGAGAAAGAATAACTGCGAATGATTGTACCTGCTGCTCTATACCCAATATCACTTTACTCAAACGGTAAAATATTAACTGCTTGAAACGTGGTGTTTCTTTGTTGCTGTTGTGATCTGGGTGAGCCAGCGCCGAGCCAGCTGCGAGTTGTGACGTGACGCATTGTAATCTGGGAGTTCATATACTGCTTGCACAGCTGATGTTGATTTAAAATAGCCTTACGAACTACCCACGTTACTATTCTATTAACTGTATGACATTACTTTGTGCGCAAAACAAGGTCAATCAAGAATTAATATCGCAACGTAATGTGGTACACACACCGATACCGATGCCTTCTCGCCATCTCAAGTTTGAGCATGTGGTAGGAAGCTATCAGCTACGAGGGGATAAAATGTTCCACTGCACTTTGGGGCCGAAGGTTATTTACGACTGTGCCCTTTGCTCGACTTGGGTGTCAGCGCCGCAGGCCTAGGTAGATGTATGTCAGGCGCGTCTCAGCGTAACAGTGTTTCGTGAGATATCGCGAAGCCTGTTACGCGAGACGTGGTCTTGCGTAAAACATTACAACTCGGGAGGCGGATGGATATGAGAAATTATATGAGAAATTCGCTAGTCAGCAATAGGGTGGGAGATTTGAAAAGAGACGAGTGACGAGGAACGAAAAGTGACCGTTACAGCACTGTCCACGGTTCTGTGGCCGGCCTATGGGCGCGATCGCCACAAATTTAGTACCGATGGACTCGGCAAGGTGCAGGCCAACTGACTCAATTGTTCAAATTGAACACAACTCACTTGGGGGCCGCCAGGGGCGTCGAACGTGACAGCGACAGCATCGCCTGCAGGTGTCTCCGGACCTCGCTACCTGCGCCAGCGCAGCCAGCCCGGCGAGTCCAGCTGAGCGAGCGGATCCCACCCGCGCGGGCGGCCGATCCCCCGGAAGTGAGGGGAAAATAACTCGGAAACACCGCAAATGGGCTTTTTTCTGAAATTCCGCTGCCAGTTCAGATATTTCGAGAATGATTTACGGGTATTTCGCGACAGTTTTCAGTATTTCAGAGGCTGCGACTACTGCCAATTTCGCGTCTTTTTTTGCATTTATCTCGCACTGTTTCCCATTTGTAGACAGTCCCCGACACTGACTTCACCAAAAGGAATCGTTCCCCCATCCCCTTCCTTCTCCTTGCTTTTTTTCTTATATGTTACGGGTAAAGTCCGTCAGTCGGTTAATGTCGACGATAACCGCTTAAAGTCAACTTTACCCGAGGCGGCCGGTTAGAGCTGTCTGAGGGCCGGGGAGGGCTCCTCGGGGCGGACATTAACCGGGGAGCGGCGGGTAATGTCTGTGGCGGGGTGCGAGGTAGCGTAAACAATGGCGGGTGAGAGGTAGCGGAAACAATGGCTGGGTGAGAGGTAGCGGAAACAATGGCAGGGGGGTAGTAGGGGGTGGTTACCATGATTCCGAAGGACAGGTCGGACGTCGACAGTCATGGAGCCACCAGACAGAAAGATTTTTGAAGAAAAACTCAAGGAAATTTTAAAAGTGAAGCAAGAGAGGAAACTCTTTTGACATTACTGATGAAAAGTACGACAAGTTGCTGAAAGAAGTGAATGAGGCCTGGTAAAGACTACAGGAGAACGAAGCAGTACGAGACCATATCGGTCACGCTTCCTGGCGGCCAGAGGGAAGAGCGGCTGATAAAACCAATGCAAGAAGGTCAGACTGAAGGACCCCTGCACTACGTCAAGAATGGGTCCCTATACGACCGGATCAACGAGGTGCACAAGCGAATCAACCACGGGGGCCGCAACAAGATGATGCCCGCTCTGAAGGAAACGTCCGCAAACATAACACAAGTAAGCATGATTTTGGCATAGACTTTTAGATTATTATTGTTATTATAGAAAGATATGAATACTGTGTGTTGTTACTGCCGACAGGAGGCTGTGTCACTGTTCCTGTCACTCTGTGCGATATGCCAGTCCAAAAAGATCAAGAAGCGCGGCATTGTCGTCAAGCCACTCCTTTTCACGAAAATGAACGATAGGTCACAAGTTGACCTGATTGATTTCCAATCCCACCCGGACGAGGAATTCAAGCACATGACATACCAGGACTACCTGACAAAATTCGTGGCCCTTAACGCGATGCGGAACAAGAAGTGGCCAATAATCTCCTAACCATCTTCCTGGCTTTCGGCGCTCCCGTTATTTCACTATCAGAAAACGGGCGTGAATGCGTTGCTGCTTGGGTAGAGAAGCTGAAGGAGCTGTTCCCCAGCCTGAAAATCGTCCACGGAGCTTTCCCCCACCCCCACCCTCCCTTCTCAACCAGCTACGGCGAATTGTCATGGCGGTTGTGGATGGTTGTATCTACTTGAGCTGTACCAAAAAACTGATAGGGAAGCTTTGAGGCCAAGTCGAGGGGACTGTCTCTTCCTTAGCCTTGTGGGGTAATTTTTAG